AAGCGTTAAAGATCTAACCATTTCAAGCTCAAGGAACGACCTGCATGTCTAAACATTTTAAGCATGAAATTATTCCAACAAATGTATGAACAGGGGAGATGCCTCATGAAGAGTTAAGCCAAACTCTCAAAACAAGATGCAGGGCTATCCATATTTAAAAAAAAAAATTATAGCCTGCATTTCAAGCTGGGGAAAACCGCAGGAAGCCCAAAACCGAGCCCTTTCTACAAACATGTACAAAACAGTAGAATGCCACCTCCCCAAACTTCATTTTAAGTAAGAGTAAGACATAACATGCCAAAGCCTCCCTAGTTTAAGCAAGTAACTAAGTCTAAACTTAACATATGCTCAAATTTCATTTCAGACAAGTAAAGGAAAAATTAGCATGCTGTATCATCCAACAGAAACAGGCTCAAAGCCTCGTCCAAGAAGAAAACCGCAAGGAAACAGGGCACCAAAGAAAGGGGAAATGGAGGGGTACCTCGATAGTGCTAAGGCACAGCAGCACAAAAAGCTTCTCAAAGAAAAAAGTTTCCCCTCAAAATCTTCTTTCCTCTCCTCTAGCTAAACTTTCAACAACCTCAACCAAACAGCCAGGAACTCTCCTTATAGGCAGGGAATAAAGAAGAAGAGAAAAGAAAGCCACCTCAATGTCCACGGCACTCGAATCGGGACAAAAGCCAAAAGAGGATCTTCCCTGCCTACAGAAGACGAAGCCAACAGCGCCTCTCGGACCGAGCGGCCGAGGCCAGTGGCAAAGAGAGAAGTATCGGGAAGAGGAGAAGAAGAATGCCACTCTAGTGTACCAGGGAACAAGCCTCCCAAAGTCGAACTACCAAGAAAAGGAAAGCCACAGCACATAAAGACTGGCACCGCTTCGGGAAGGAAGGCCGCGGGCAGCAGCAAGTCAGTCAAGGATGAACGGGGTCAACCCTCCCTCGCATGGAGGAAGACGAGCTCGGTCGGCTCGAGAACGAGAAAGGGAGAGGGCTAGGCACGCGAAAGGAAGAGGGAAAGGAGACAGAGCTCGGGTGCGTAC